AAAAATGTATGATTCATGTTGGAACAGCTTGTTGGGCAAGCCAGGCCCTCACCAAAATGGATCAATTTGAAACCTAAATTAGATTATTTGAGAAAGGGAAGGTACGGTGTATAGAGATCAGGCGTATCCATTTCTAAAGGGCCGGGCCATCCACCATCCAGTCTCAAGATAGACGGTGTGTATAGGGGTTTCGCCATATCTGTCTACTTTCTACTCGGATTTTGTGAGGTGGCCACATGTTCATCAACTTACAAAGATACTAAGCAATTTTGTGAGGTGGCCATATGTTCATCAACTTACTTTTCAATATAGAGTAAGTGGTTTCGCCATGTCAGTCTACATTCTACTTACCTGTCTAAAATCACATCTTCATGGAATAATGTGCACACTTTTTTTTGTAGGCAATTCGTTGGGGAGTGGATTTCATTACGGGTAGATATGATGTCATATTGTGACGCCCTTCCAATTTGATCATCTGGGCTCTAAAGATCATTCTTATCATCTAGCCGCTAGAGACCATTCTTAATAAGGTTTACACCATTCCTAATAAGGTTTACACTTAATTTCTTGCCTAAGAGAAATAAAAAAGAAATTATAAACTCGAGGTCTTGAGAACAAGAAGTGGATGACCTGCCTATGCACAGTGTAGGGTACACATCTTTTTTTCTTCTTCTTCTTGTTTTTATTTTCAAATAGGGAAAGTATAGAATAACACCATTTACCTTTGACCATTGAATGTGAAATTGGGCGACTGCAATTATTCCATTGACCAAGCTCAAATTTTTAAAAAAATATTCTCGAATTTAATGACACATCCAAACTATCAAATTTCACATCAAATGGTCGTAAAGAATTGGGACCACCTTGTATCAAAGATAAATTATCTTATTGTATACAATCCCTTTCAAATATTATGTCAGTTTGTATGAGAAAGCAGTTTACGAAGGAGTGGAAATAGTTCAATTCACCCCTCAACGCACCTGTGGTGGTTAGGAGTGGCAATGGACCAGACCCGAATTGACCCAGTGGGTCGGTCTAGGATCCAAATAGACGGTAACCCGAACACTATTCGAGTCCGGGTCATGTGGACCAGTCGTGGGAGGTCAA